CAGATGCAATGCATATGCAGCACCCTGATTAGATTTGCTTACACACACACAGAGGGAACATATTTGTATCTTCCCACATTAGAACCTTACGTGTGCGCACACACACACACACACATACACCCAGACTATACACATGCGCTTGCCCTTATTAGAACCTACAGACATACAGAGGCAACACATATACATACACCCTGAGGAGAGTGTATACCGGAAACATTATTTTGTTACATATAAAATAAATAAATACATACATACAGATGGCCACTGGGGTAAAGGGATTGGAAAGAATTCTGGAATCCATGCCTGTATGTTTTTCCTACCTAGATTATTTATTGTATATTCCTATATTAATGCCAATTAGCATTAATATCAAAGCATTTATTCTTCTTACTTTTGAGCTGTAGATGCCAGGATCCCTGATAGTTTGTGTTCTGTAAAAAAATCATTAAAAGTGAATCAAAAGGGTTTTGTACATCAAAGCATTCTGATTTAATGGCAAAATTATGTACCTGATAGAATTATTTGAACTAGCTCTCCCAAGAAATGACTTATGCAAGCATCCTTTTCCGTAAGCAATCATACAAACTGTATGTAATTAAAATAAAAGGAAAGAACACTTTCCTTAAAAGAGAACCCTGAGCTATGCAGTGATGCCAACACATTTGTTCTGCATGTGGTGTGTGAATCCTCTAGCATATGTGTTGCAGGATACATATTTTGTTCATAACTGTTTCTTTGCCTAGCTTTGAGTCCACAAGTATTATGAAGAATTAATTCGTGCTTTGGGTCAGTAGTAGAAAAATGCTAATGCAGCTGGAGGTTTGATCTGAATTGCAACTCTGTAAGGAATTAAATGTGCCATGAGTCCCTGTACTAGGGATAGTCATTTGTGACTAAGAGAAGCAATGATGCCTTGCTTTCCAAACTCTCATTTTTGTTAACTATCCACAAAATGCCAGTTCTTGATTTTGGAGAGGTAAGTGTGGAAATAAAAGCAGTCCTTGATAGCTGACATGTAAAAGAAGAAAAGTGCATTTCTAACCTCAGTAATATATCGACGGTGTCACTTTTAGAATCTGGACTGAAGCAAATTGGCAATGACAGCTCCTGATTTCCACTGATCTCACTTGAAAAACACTGAGAAAGGTATCTCTGCAAAGAAGCTTCCTTGTTGAATTATTCATGAAACTAACTTCATCACATGGAGCACCTGCTGAGAAAAGCTTGCATTGCATATTAACATACGTGCATCAAGCTTTACTATTAAACCCTACTACCAGCATGCCATTTGCTGTGACAATCATAATACTCCAAGTTAGGGGCAATGACAAATAGAAGGCTTACATTGGGGAACATTTCACATTTTTAATTAGCTTTGGGAAAAGGTCACATTATAGAAATATGAAAAGAGTGACATTCATTCTTTTCTAATACATGTTTGTAATTCGAAGATTTTTTTCATCTCATAGGCTACTCTTAAAATATGTGGAGCTTTCATACCAACTGAAGTAATCTATATAATGATGAACACATTCACTTGGCACTACAATAAATTTAAATGAGATTTTCTATTAAAACATTGTATCCAAAACCAGAGGACATTACTTTACCTCCCAGTTTTTAATTTTTTTATTAGGGTATATAGGTATAATTTGGATCTGTATTTAAGGAGTGTGTGCAATTCTCTTGAAATTGCATGTAAGAATTGTAGTTGTGGAGCTTTTGACAGGATATAAATAATAAAATATTTATTTAACAACAGTGATAAAATATTCTCTATAGCTCTCAACCTGAATCACCTAATCTATATAAAATTTATAGTTGCTTTTGTTATTAACGAACAATAATTCAGCCTGCCTTCTGGTATATGGGGAATCATATGTGTTTTTAAACAGTTCTTCCATGTAATTAAGTAGTGTGGGCTGTGTGTCTGAAGTCTATTCTTCTTTTTCTTTACTTACAAATCTTTACAATTCACTGTTTGAGAGGTGGAATCAGCAGGCAGTGTATTTAATCCCCTGCCTTAACTCTTTTAAAGAAAATCAGTGATCAGCAAAGGACTGTCTCTGATCATACCAGATGATACTGCTTGAATTGAATTGCACAGAATTAATGATATTTCTACTTCCTCAAATACATATTCAATAGGTTTTGGCCTTTTACTTTAATCATTCCTTGTAAAAACTGAGGGCTATGAGAAGAAAGTGAGCTGAAGTAGCTGTACAAGCACATGCATGCAAAGACAATCCATAGCAATATCTAAGCAGTTGTTTGAGCCTTGCAAAAATGTGGCTGCTTTAATGATTTGGAAAGAGGTGTTTTGTATACGTACTCCTGCACTGCTTTTGAAGGCTTTGCAGACTGAATATTTTGGCTGAGATCCGGTTTTGTTGTTTACTGATAAAACTGCTTCCATTGACCACTAAGGAAAAGGGTGAATTTTCTTTTTAAAAATATCTATATATCATTTTTCACACGTTTGTAAAGCATAATACAAGTGTTTTGGGAAAGAGAACTTGTTTTCAAGCTCAGCTACTATACTGCCTAATTATTGAATATATATTTTAAGGAAAATATTATTTATTTCATGTTAGTATGCACTTCCCTGTGCTTGGTGTAATATACTAGCAAGTTTACGCTGGCGCTTGTATGTGTGTATGTGTATGTGTATATGTATATACTGTATATGCATATACAGTATATACATAAAAGAAACTTGTTTAACTTACAATGAAGGCCCTAGAGAAAATTAGTTGTATATTGGAAACATTTGAAAAAGAAAGCACCATGTGGAATGTCTTAGATCTTTGTTTGAAATTAAGTAGTCAGAAGCCTTCAGCAACAAGGGTATTGAGCAAATAGGAGGGATTCATCAAAGCTCACTTGACTGGGCATCCTTCCTCCTTGTGCTGTAAGATGAAGTGTGATGCTCTTTGTTGTTGTTTGTTATTCTTCATCTGTTGTTTGCTCAGACCTGAAACCCCAAGAATAAGATGAACCAATTCGAAATTATTTGGAAAGATTATCTTAAGCATCAGGCCAAGTGAATAATTTAAAATAGAACACCAAAAAGGAGTGTTTCTGAAGTTACAGAAATACATTTCAGAAGGCATTTTAATCTTTATCTAATCTTTATCCAATATCTGCAAAATGCCAACATTTCAAACCTGATAAGGAATTTCCACTGATATAATTGAAGAGGAAGTGATACTAGCTTATTTCCCACTTGCCTTGCTATTCATGGTACTTTACTATTTTTGTGAAAGTCTGAGGAACCATTTGGAAGTAAATGAAAAATAGCTTTCGGATTAGTACAGAGAGGAAGAAACAGACAAAAATAGCCTTCTCTCCATTTGTGCCAGTGGGAATAGCCTTTCTCCAGATATAGTCTGTATTGCTATTTCCTGTCTTCTGAACAAAGAAATGGATGACTTAGGTATCTCTAACTAAAGTCCCAGCATAATATTATCTGGAACACATCTGATGCAGTTTACTTTCCCTATTTTAAATAGTTTTATTATTTTCTGTTTGAATATTAGAATTGATCAATTGCCTCGTTTTTAATTGTGTTTGGACTGGTTTATGGTGTGTGTGCATGTGTGTGTGATTTACGGCTTCCTTTCGGTATCATGTACCTTCCATTGTCCTTTCTGTGTATGTCTGTACACAGAATGTATGTATGTGCACGCATGTATTGGTGATTAAGTGTTTTCTGCTGCATTGAAATAACACCTGTTTTTCATTTGCAGTTTTCTGTGTGTAAAGAATAATATTAGCTGTATGAAGCATAATTATGACTAACAGTGGGAAACATCAGTGATTAAAATGAAATTTTCAAAACTGTATATAGATTAGAAAGCTCATTCACATTGTGGTGTTCAAGCATGAAAAATATGCATGGGCAGCACTTATTTTTCCTTGGGCCATTATTTTAAATAGATATTTGTTGTCTGATACATTTTCAGAATGGATGCTAGTCCATTTTTTTGTTTTTGTTTCAGCAGCATTTCCTTACACTTCTGTGCCTTTGCTTTTAACTTCAGTAAAATTCTAATCTTTTTATGCTGATTACTTCAAAATGAGCTCTTGCAATGTCTTTTTCATTTTCACTTGATGAAAACATGCTGTTCAATACATTGCAAGTAACAGCTGGCTAAAGGTTTAAACAGGAAAAGAACATAAGATTCTGTGGTAGGTAAAAGATAAACATTCTCTTGTTTATACTTTTCTAATACTCTGTTTAGAAGTTTGCAATTTTTAATCCCTCCCTCCCTTTTACTACTTTTGCTCTGAGCTGTTCTTTTGGAAAAACAATCAGCCCTGTTTGGAGAGTGGCTTTGATCTCTGTTTTCTTATTTATTTTAAGAAGCTAGAAGTCTGGCAATTTGTTGTGTTTTTTACTTTGTCAGATCATGCCCCCTCAACACATGTTCTCCACAGATGGCTTGGAAAGGGGAAAAAAGGCCCAGCAGAATGCCTGAAGTTTGATGTTCCACCAAGTTCCCAAGATATTTTTTTTTATATAAATGTCAGTGTGTTTGCTGTTGTGCCTGCAGGTGCTCAGTTAGGCAAGTGGCCTTTCACCTGGCATAATTAACTTGTTTTTATTTCCTCAGATGTTTATCATTTTTATCTTAACCTTTTTTTGATTGTTATTGTTTTCATAGAGTGCTCTTGAAGGAAAACTGAGCAAGTTGTGGAGACACCTGCTTGCCATGAGGCAAAATCTGAGTTTCATGCTCGCCCCAGGACAAGCGTCCTCTGAAGCAGCTCATCAGATTCTACCAACTGTTGTTTATGCTCGGCTGATAAATCAAGTAGTTCAGTGTCATCAGTCTGTGGAGGAATGTTGCACTGATTTGCTCACTTTGACACTTCTGGTACCTTCAGCTCCTTGGGTGAGTATAAGGTGCGATATATTGAAAAGTGACACTTTAAATACTACCCCAAATACTACTGGAATACTCAAAATTCTTCTGGAATCAGGCTGTAGTCGTTTTGATATATTCTTCAATGTTATTTGACCTGAGACAAAAGTTGTCATTTTCTCAGAGACAGAGAGAAAATGTAACATAAATTAATTGCTGGTATTATCATTACCTAAAATGCTTTGTGCATGACATCAAAATGATGTTTTGTGTGATGTGATGTCATGATACAAATTATGCATTTGCTTCAGTGCAAAACAACATGCCATTATGATGGCATGCAATGTCATTTGCCCCCCTTTGCAGACACTCCATGCATCATAGTCTTTTCCTTCTTCCCTTCCTTCTCTCAAGTGTAGCTTTACATGAGCACCTGGAAGTAATGGCACAACAGGGTTTTCTTTCCATATGAAAGCTGCTCTGAAAGATTGGGCAGTACTGGAGCATGGAGGACCTCTGATGCAACTTCTCCAATTTTTCCACTGATGCAGGGAGGAATTGGGCTGCATTAGATTCCATGCTGACAGCAGAACATGAAATAGAGTGATTTAATATCAAGGGCAAAAGTCCATTACAGATTTGGGGTTTGTAGTACTTTCTAAAGAACTTTAAAAATGATCCCACCTTTTAGAGGTGTAGTAGTCCTTTCTAAGGACATTGAAAGTGGAAAAATAATTAGATACTTTGAAAAAACGATTACACCTGAAATGCATTGAACAACTACTGTAGGTAATATGATGATAAAGCACTTTAAAAATGATTTCTTGTCCTTTTTTCATTTGAGAACAAAGTGCCTAGCCTTTTCATCTTTTTATACCAGAACATATGCGGATGTTGCTAATTCCTAGTTTTGCAAGTTCATTTATTTCATTTTGTGCCACTGGGGTATTGTCCACCTCATTAAGTTGTCTGGATCTTGTTTGTGGTCTTTGCTTTTAATTCTGAGAACATACAGGTTTTATGTCCCCAATAAATATTTCTTAATTGAATACATGCAGGTAATCTTCGACTTATGATGACAATTGGGACACGTGATATGATTGTAACGTGTGACTGCATCACTTAGTGACAGCAATCCCTGCAGTCCTGGTTGCCGTCATTAACTGAATCTCATGTTTGTTAGACAAGGCAACTTCCTGCCAGCTTCCCACAACCAAAGTCAGTGGGGAAGCTGGTAGGAAGTTGCAAGTCCTGGCAGGCAGGCTGGGAAGTAGCTGCTGCTGGGTGGGGGAGGGCGTGAGGGGATATGTGGGGGTGCCAGGGAGGGTCAGGGATGGTGTGTGAGGGTGTGCAAGGGGTGCCATGAGGGTTGGGGACGGTGTGCAGCAGTATGTGGTGGTGCACAAGAATTATCTTGTGGCTTGGGAAAGGTGCACCAGGGAGCATGGGGGTGCATGAGAGGCGCAGTGGGGGTTGGGGACAGTGCATGGGGTGCATGAGAGGTGCTAGATGGGCCAGCTGCGCAGCAGTGCATGAGAGATGCCATATGTGTTGGGTATGTGGGGGTGTGCAAGAGATGCTGCATGGGTTGGGTATGTGGGGGTGTGCAAGAGATGCTGCATGGGTTGGGAAGGGTGTGCGGGGTGCAGCATGGGTCAGGAAGGGTGCATGGAGGTGCATACGTGACTGATGTGACACGAGTGCAGAGGGGCTGTGGAAGGTGTGCTGGTGGAGGAGACACCCCAGCGACTTGCAACCTGCCCTGCTAGCTTCCCCATTGACTTTCTGAGGTAGCTGGCAGAGAAGATTGCAATCACGCAGGGTGTTTGGCAACTGGTCATAAGTGCAAATGGGTTGCCCAGTGCCCAGATTGAGATCATGTGACCATGGGGGTGCTGGGACAGCTATAACTCCAAGGACCAGTTATAACTACCATTCGTTCAGCACCATTGTAGCTTCGAACGGTCGCTTAACTAATCGTTGTAAGTTGAGGACTACTTGTATCAATGTTTTCAGAACTTTCAGTACATTGGAAGCATGATGGAATAGAAATGAGTATTATTTTCTGAGTACTGGCATGCTACAGAAAGACAATCTTTTCTAATGTTATTAAATAGCATTTTTAAGAAAATGAATTAACTTGAATTAAAAAGAAACACTATTCTGGCAACATTTTCAGAAACAGATTCTCAAACATAGTACAAGCTTTGGAATGGTCTTGACATTTTCAAACACCAGTGCACTTTTAAACTGATGAAGCATGTTCAAATCTGCTTCTCTAGAAAGAATGGGCTATTAGTGAAAGGAGTAAGTTGAGTCTTTTTGCAACAAGATGCAATTTCAGTATTTCATCTTAATGTAGAAACGATATAAACAAATATGTCAATGCAGGAAGTAGTGTCCTCCAAAACAGAAGATTAGGAAACTTTGAAAATGTTGTGGCAAGGTTCCCTTCGATTCTTATGGCATTGAGATCAAATTAGTGTATTGGCAAGTAAGTTGTTTTTCTCTTAAGGCAGTAGAATTTAACTCTGTGTGTAGATTATTGTCTGATAGCACTACCTATGGTGCATTATCATACAGTTTTAATTAGTCATAGGATACTTTGATGTCCCTCAAATGAACAGAATTCAGGAATAACTATAGTAATCTAATTTGAAATATTCCTACTTATTTTCATTTATCCTTTGAGGTTTTTAGTAGGTTCAATGAAAAATTTATAGCTAAACTTTCATTGAAAAATGCTGCCAAAGTAGAATTAAAATGGCTGAGTTTCTTATTTCATCTGTTTTTATAGTAGATAATTAGGAATGCAAGCCAACCTTTGTTAATGTTGGGATTTGTTTCCATTGAATATAAAGGGAATTAATTTTCAAATAATATTAGTTAAGATTGTACTGCATTATTTTCTTTGAGGAAAATAAAGTAACTTTCTGTTATAAAATAACTACAGGTGTAAACAAGTATAAGAACTGTAATATGGTTGAAAAGCATATGTTCCAGAAACATATCTGGATACTAAATTGACCTTTGCAAGACTAACTCTATGCGTTCCTTTCATTTACTACTGAGTTGCTTACTTTATTGGTTCTTCTCTTTCACAAGTTCAAGGGTGAACACCAATATGCGTATAGCTAAAATAACAAATTATCCGCAAAACAGGGAGGTCAACAAGGTAAGTAAAATTCCAAGATTTTCAGAAACGTTTCACATTAAAAACTAACTTCCCTCATTTATGGGGAAAGACAACAAATGGGGAAAGACAACAAAGAATATGTTTCTCATTCTAGTCTGAAACAGTTTCAGTATAGTCTCAATTTATTTCAATGAATATCTGATTTCTGGTTTATTTTAAATTACACCAAATTTATGGTTCATTTCTAATGCTAGACTTGAAAATGATCATCACTCTTTTCTCACACAAGAATTTCTTATGATTAAATGATTCTGAAAAGAAATGCAAATAAACATATTGGTCCCTTCCCTCTTACTATTACAAAAGTTACAAGGTAGATTGTTCTCCTATTTGTCTACCTCTCCATCCCCATGGTGAGATCAGTTTTCAGTACCATAGATTCATTTTGATTCTAAAATGCTATTTTCCTGGGAGAAACACTGAATCTCTTTTGCTTTAAGTCACAATCCATATTATGTATTTTTCTCCAGCTGAATTCCAGACAGACAAAAACATGCATTTAGAACAGTTTAGAAAAGCAGCTGCTGTGAGGGAAGTATTTGAAATATACCATAGCTGCTTGGGGAAGATGCAAGTGCCTTCAGACAAAAATGTGTTTTAGACATGAATGTGTAACAACTTGTTTATCCTGAGGCTCAGGTTAGTAGATGCTGAAAACACCATCTCAATGTTCAGAAATAAAAGTCAATAGTACTGTCAGCACTGGGAATGATACGGTGGGGGTGTGAGCTGTAAACTAATGAGATGAATCCAGAAATGAAGAGATTAATATACAATTTGGTGTTTTGTGACATTTCATTATCTACATCTATGAAAAAGAAGAACACGAATCTAAACTGCATCCAGTTATTTGTTTTTATAAATTAATGTGTGAGCATCAAGAAATTGGGAGCTGTTATTTCAACATATTGTTGTAAATTCAAGAAATTAATATATTTCATGTTAAAATTCTAAATATTAGAATCAGGTTTCTGGGAACAATTGAGTAAAAACCTTTCTTATAAACAAAAATGCCAAAGTTGAGGTAAAGGGATCCTTCATAGATTGCTTTTCAGTCCTGAACTTCACCCTTCAAATTTGTAAGTAACTTACTATTTGATTACTAAAGAGAAAATCCTTTTTCTGTTCTGAGAAGTTACTGTTGCATGATTTATGCCTCCTATACAAACAGATGAGAAGGCAGGAACATGATGCTTAGTATGAGAAAACAAAGAAACAAAACTAATAACTTTGCTTTCATTATAACATATCTTATAATAAGATAATATCATGCAAGTCCTTTCTCCAAATTGAAATCAGCAGGATCCGAATGTGCCAAGCCACTTGTCTGAATGGGGAAGGATCCATTCTAATCCTCTTCCCTTAAGGCAGGGTTACCTGGTAAGTGAGTCCTTGTAAGTCAGCCAGGTGCATGGACCAACTCTCATGATTCTCCAGTTATTGTAGAAGATCCTCAGGTTGAGGAATGCTGCTATTAGTGATTAGTGTTATCAAATGTGATTTTTGCTTTCAGATGCTATCCCTGAAGTCTCTGGACTGGCAATATAAGCTGCCTGAAAAGCACCTGCAAGCACAAAATTTCTCTGTAAATATATGAGTTAAGAGTTCTCTTCAAGGAAACCCTTTTCAGCATCATGAGAACTAAATAGCTAATGGGCTAGTCACCTGCTACTGTTATCCAACAAGCCCCCCCCCCAATCAGTTTTGCCACAATATAGTTAGATGTAGCTATTGCTATGGTTGAATTTTCTCCTATCCTAAAGGATATAATTCAGTCAAAGGCTTATTGTGATTTACATATCATTAGAAGTGAGGATGTATATCTATAGAGCTT